TTTTGAAACCGGCAGTCCAAAACACATTACAACACCCTCGCCGGTTTCCAGTGGGTTTGCTCAGTTCCTCCCTTCCCGTGAAGACCACACAGGCTTCGCGAGGGCGTTCCGTCCTGCCGCAGAAAGGCGGTCTCTGGGGCCCGCCGCTCCTGGCAGCCGCTCTGCAGCAGCGTGATTCCCCCAGCTCCCTCCTCTCCCCTGCCTGCTCCAGCCCCTCGTGCCCTGCCGGACTCACACACCCTTGGCACAGAGGCTGCCCAGGGCAGCCCTGCCGGGACATCAACACTGCTTTCCCAAGGCACCAGGTTGCCATGGCCCAGGCCGCAGGGACTGCCAGCCCAGGGGTGTGTGCTGGAGCACTGCTGCCAAATGCTGTTCTCAGCCACTGCCCCAGTGTAAATTTAGAGCGATTCGCCTGCAACAGTGACCGAGGATTTGTTCTGTGCGAAAGGGCAGAGCAGACCCTGGACAAGGGCTGGCATTTCAAAACAACCATCTTGGGCCTGGTGCAAGCACAATCACCTGAAAAAAAGAGAGCAAAACTGGCAGACAAAAACACGGTGAGTACTTCCACACCGATTCAACACTTAAAAACGCACTGAAGTGAGGATGCCCTTTCTTCAAACCCTCCACCAAATCACTTTTACTCTTGGCAACCTGCTGCCTCCTCACTCTTCAGCTCCTTCACCCTGACAGCACCAGAACCCTCCTACAGCAGTGTTTCAGTCCTCCACTGCCAGACCCTGCCAGCCTCTGTGCTGCCTCCCCTTGTTCCCTCCTCTGCTTCACCTCCTGCTTAAAGTCCTTCTGAGGAGGAGCTGAAATCTTTGCAATGACCATCCTGCACCATATGCCACCAGGGGCCTGACTACCCTACCAAAACCAGGGATAAATGCTTGCTGAAGTCCATGGGGAAGCCTGCACCCGGGAGGGCGATGGAGAGGGGCCTCATGCTGCAAATCTGCCCCTTATCCCTCCCTCTCCTGGGACAGGAGCCCATGCAGGTCTGCAAGCTGGCCAGATCAGGGTAGCTTTCCTCCAGTCAGACGCTCTGGAAGGATTATTTGGCTGCAACATATCATATGACTTTGTTCTTAGAGTTACATTTTAACTGAGAAAGTTTAACAAGTATGACTTATGGGCTTCTAAAATTGGCAGCAGAAAAATGAGCTCAGGAAGTCATGGAAAAAAACCACAAGCGAGGCCATTCCATGTTATGCACAATTTCTGGGCTCTTTTTCCAATCTTCTGGTTTTTTGGATGGTGGAAAATATTTTCCAGCTACACAGGCCTGGCCTCACTGAGTACGTATTTATGCCAAGTTTATAAAAAGCAGCTGCAGACAGGGTTGAATGAAAGGATTACACTGCTGTCTGTCTTCCAGAAGGTGCTTCAGTTCACACCCTGTCCCACAGAACGAGGCTCATTCCTCAAATCTCCATGAACTTATGCAAAGAGGGACAAAATTTTGAATGGCACAATACAAACATGTGAACGCGCATGTGAATGGGTATGCATCTGTATACATCTAGCTAGCTGGCTAGCTAACAGCAGTTCCTACCCACTGCTAACGCTGGCTTTTAGCACTTGAAGTTTACCACCATTCCTCCAACCTCTTCCCACCCTACAACCTGGTCCATCTTCCACTAACACAGCAATGGGGAGAGGGCTTTCTAGCTCAAGACCCTAGTCTCGGTGTACCTCTGCTGCCTGCTTCATGTATACTTGCTCTCCGGCTTCTTCCACTGAAATTCAGGCTTCACCCACCTCACATATTCTCATGCTGCCAGGCTTTCAGGCAAGGAGGGACTGCTGTAAGCGTGCATCCTGACCTCTGCAGCACAGTGCCACTGAATTTCAACCAAGAACCTGGGCAAAAGAGGCTTAACCTTAATTTTCAGCCATGTCTTGCCATAGCCTTGGCCTAATACACGAGTCACAAGAGGAGAGTCATTTAGGAGTTCACTCTCCTGAATAGAATAGCTACAGGGAATGCAGGGAGAGCACAAACTGAAAGTAAATGGATATAAAAAGGTAAGGTAGGTGGTAAGCTGCAGATCATACACTACAGATCTGTACCCTGCTGTTTTTGCAGTCGAGTATCTTAGAATAACAGTACTAAGAACGACAGTGTTACATCAGGAATATCGGTCAAGACAATATTTCCTGGCAATTGTTTGAGAAATGCTTTTCTCACAGCTAATTGCTCCCAAGAGGTTGTGTTTTCTCTGTTTTTAGAAGGAGAGTGACTAAGAAAGAGGGTTTTTAAACCTCTGCACTGTACTGTGGGACAAAGAACGGGGGGGGGGGGGAGGGAAGGAAAAAAGAAAGAAAAGAAAAAGGCACAACAGCTGTAATGTTCTATGAAATGATTTTGTTCTGTTCTCTTGCCGGGGTGGTGGGTGCAATCATCACTTTGGCAGAGATAAATACAGAAAAAGCAAGAAAATTTACAGGAAAGAAAGGGGAGTCCCGGCTGCAGGAGTACCACATTGCCATCTAGTGGCACCGGCTTGGGAAGCCGAGCACATGCAGCTCTGCAGGCGCTCCATGCCTCCCCTCGCCGGCGACTCCCTCTGGGCAGCAGGTGTGACTCCTGAACATGGGACCCAGCCTCCTTTCAGTGCTTTAGAACCGAGCCTGACAACTGTCTATAAAAGGCAGGTATAGGAATGCAAGGGAAAAAATCCAGCAAAGGATGTTTAAGACAAACTTGGCTTTGCTGGGCAAAGCTGATGTTTACACTGAGGCCTGCAGATTTCCATCTTTCACTGCTGCTACACACAAAGCCACCAGAACCTTGGCATGTTCTGCAGTTGTCATCTATGGCAAAATGAGAGACTGGCAAGAACAGCAAGGGCTACCTTCTCCCAAGGAGACAGGCCTCATTCTAGACCTGATGTCATGTTCCCAATCCTGTGGGACCAAATGCATCAGTACCTGTATGCCCAGCTGCTATCTTGTCAACAAGGGTGATGTTCTTTGATATTAGCAAATATAATGTGGTCTTCCAAGAAGAAAGGAACTCACAGTTGAGTTCTGCAAAATGAAGGTAACCTATACTGCTCCAGTGAATCAGTCTTACAGCAGCATTTCTTCAAAAGCCCAGAGGGATCACCTCGGCAAATACTTTGGTGAACATTATGATGACCTACACATACTTTGAATTTACAAAATCCATGCTGCATCAATCAACAAAATGCTTGTGTTGTCAACCAAGGACCAAGCACACAACACCTGAAACATTACCAGGAGTCGGGGAGGCAGAATTTGAACAGTAAGATTAGAAAAAAAGGAAAGGCCATGAAGGGTCCCGTCTCACAGCTCCATTGCTGGTTCTGTCAGACTGCAATCTGCTTAATTTTTTCTTTAAAATGAGAGTGTAATTCCTGTTTCTGCTGAAAATGTGCTGCCCAAGGTAGGAGACATCCACCTGTGAAAAGATCTACAGTCTAATGACAAATGTTATCAGGCCTGATGAAAAATGTTGAGGGCAACTCAGCAAACACTTTCTCCCAGCAAAAACTCCCAAACTGGGCAGAGTCTCACACCACCATCCTGAAAACTGAGTGATTGAAGAGATTTTCAGATCAAATCAAATGTCACCTCAACAAAAGTTGCAGCTATGTCACAAGTTACCACGCACTGGAGGGTCCCAGGTGATATTTCCACCCATTTGGAGCAGTTTTTCAAAACAGTAAGACTGGAAATTGTCTTCCAGCTTTAAACTTCATTCATGCTATAACAATATCATCATTCAACGCCAGGCTGGATGCGGTTCTGGGTAAGCCGATCTAATTGAAGATGTCCCTGCTCATTGCAGGGAGATTGGACCAGATGACCTTCGGAGGTTCCCTTCCAACCCTAACTATTCTATAATTCTATGAAGGGAGAGATTCTCCATAAGAGCCAATTGTTTTCCCTGCTTCACATTTTATGACAAGAAGCATTGGGAGTGCACTGCCCCAATATCAATACCTTCCATCCCAGGATCTCTGTGCCCTTTAGAAAACAAATTTATCAGCACTTCCTTCCATGGTCACCCAGAGAAGCCAAGGTGCCCCCATGGTTAGCTCAAGCTCCCACTAAGAACCAGTCTGTTGGTCCTTGAGGGTGGCAGGATACACCGGTCTGATCATTCAACCTTCTGGGTATACGGCTACCACATAGGCAGCTGCTTCAGGTATATCGTCCTCTCCTTTGCACATACTGGCTCCAATACAGAAAAAGGAGGCTAGAGCCATCCTGTTCACAGGTAACATCTGCTTTAACCATGAGGACTTGCGAGTGTCAGAAGCAAGCTTTAGAAGACTGTACTGTTTTTAAGGATGGGTCAACCATCCAAAGCTGGGCTACAACTTTTTCCCAGTGAAGTACCTCTCCAGTTTTCAACCATTTGATCAGGTTGTCATGTATTCACCAACATCTAGGTGAACACTGACTCACTGCATTTCTACACTGTTTGCCCTCTTTATGCCTGCTTAACACCTATGTCCCAGTTTTCCTACTTACCTGATGGCATCACCAAATTTCAGGAACTAAGGTATAGGCTGATTACAGAGTTTTGACAGAACAGTCAGAGTTCCTTCTAAAGTTGCTATCAAACAGCAAGCCAGATTCCTGAAAGACTGTTTCTTACATTTACAATGCAGAAGCCACTTATGAACAGCAAGACTGCCAGCAGAATCATTAACCCAGTGCTCAACAGTTCATGTTATTTGATTCCAGCTTGGGGGCTGCTGTGCTTCAAATATTTTCAGTTATAGAGAATGTATTTAATAATTTTTTTATCTTTTAGTAGGTTTCATGATATATAAGCAGGTCTATGGTTGGTGGAGGTCTGATTTTTCCTGATGGCAGCACTAACTAGCACTGATTAGACAGTCTAAAAAATAGTATGATGTAGAAAAGGAGCAAGCTTCAGAGCTTCATACATAATTCAGATAAACAAAACACCCACCCAGTAACTACCAAAACAATCATACTATCCTAAACCTTACCTTCTCCCTTCCTGTGTCCCAATGTCCTGCTCTTGACTGCTTAGGTTGCCATGAGGAAAGGACCATGCAGGGTAAATTACAGGATCAGGACCGCAGGCTGTGAGCTTGCAGAAGCAGAAGCTTCATCTGGACAGACTCTTCAGAGTGCCACACACATCTCTGCTGACACAGAAGTAATAATAATAATTTCATGCTAAGAATTCTGCCAGTGCAAATGGCCAGTAGATAACATCCCTACAGAGAAGCAATAAAGGACCCTTAGTTCTGTCAGGCAACTTCTAACATAAGCCAAGAGGCCTCATGTTAAAGCTAAAAACTTCAGATGGAGACATAAAAGCAAATTAAATGTAAATCAAACAGCAACCCCCTCATGCTTATGCAAATTCAGCTGAGTGTCATTACAGCAAACACCCGAACTAGAAGAACTCAATAAACATGGAGGCTGCAACCTGGGGTCAGATGGGGCTTCTCCCATTCTATATATAAATATAGTCAAAAACTCCCACCTCCTTAATTCTAGGAACTGTCAATCTTCACTGCAGTAACTTAGAGGATCAAGATGTTACATTATACCAGGTCAATGTGTGGTAAAAGCAAATTTCCATCAAAACCACACTGTTCCCATCAATAATGAGATACTGCTGTGAATTGATTAGGCATGTACTATCAATTAAAAACACCAAAGTTTCTCAAAGAACATGCTTGCTCAAGAATCCCTTTTCTCCATTTCTCCATTTAATTAGTCATTGCATTATAATTAACAAATTCATGCAATCATTGTCATTTTAATCATCAAAGCTGAATGTACATTCCTTCTAATTAAATAATATTAAATACAACAAAAGATGCTAACCAGGTTGTTTCAGAGCTCCAGGAAATACTCTTTTACATACATGCCAAAACAGGCAAAAATTGGTTTGTTACAGCAGATTTCTGTATCTTCCAGGCTATCTTACAATTAACATATCCAGACTGACCTAAGAAAGGAGAAGCACAGTTTGCAGAGACCATATAGTTTAATTAACAGCTCTTTCTCCAGATTCTTGCCATGTTTTAAGCACACCTTGAAGAACTCCTTACTAACAAGTTGAATGTTTGGAAAAATGCTGAATGACAGCTACAAGGGCTGAAAACTTCCATTTACTTGTGTGGCACAAACATACACTGCAAAGACAGTCCAGGAAGCAAAGAAAAACCACTTCACTTCTGAGGTGCAGGAGCAGTTAAGGTTTAGTTTCAGTACAAATAGCTGCCTCAAGCCACGACAGAGACCCCAGCAGCAAACTTCATGACAGCTACAGGAGTGCAACAGGGCAAGTAGGTTTTGCCACCTTCAGCTGAAATTCAATCAGCAGCAAAACTGCACCCTGCCACAAACCTGTAACATCCTAATGTGCCCCCCCCCCTTCTTTTGTTTCAGTTAGGCCTCCTCACAGGGGCCATCACAGCCAACTCCAGGCAGAGTCTCTTCCACCCTTACTGCAGTGAAAAGGTGTTCTCCTTTACTTCACCTAGCAAAGCTCATCCAAGAAAATCACAGCTAGGCAAGGGAAAACTCTTCTCTTGCATGCCTGGGAATGAGATTTAGTTGCATCTTGTGGCAGAGTTTAGCTTGTACAATGCTTATATATCTACCTGGTTTGTGTTGAGGGATGGAGAGAAAGAAAAGAGAAGTCCTTCCAATCATGTCATCGCTACAAACCAAACAGAATTTTAGAAGCCAAAATTAGGTATCAGTAGAAACATGTGCCACTGCTGCCCCACCGATCCTGTCTTATACACTGTACCAAATTCGTCTGGACAAAATGCTGCACTGCATCACCTCACCAGACAGGAAGATTCTAAAAATGACGATTTTGCAAGATGAGCTTGCACAGAAGGTGTGTGCACAACTGCCCTCTGCTGTTTAGATTAAGAAGTGCTCAAATAAATGATAGCATGGCCAAATCAGTTTTCAGTTGCAAGGGTCCAAGTTGTGAAGAGGCAGAACTTTCTGACTTCAGCTGTTATCGGCCTCCATGCACACTTATCAATTTCATACACGAAAGCCATTCAAAACTGTCTTGCAGCATGGACCACCCAGGCAAACTTGCAGGCTGTAGCAACACTGCTAATTGCAACAACACTTTGTTCAGCAACTCTCACACAGGGGGTGAGCAGCAGCAGACATCCTCTCACCCCAAAGACAAGTCAAGAACATCCTCAGGGTATAAGGGAAATGATGGTAATTGTGAGCAAGGGCTGCAGGGAGACACACATCTGTCAACCCATTAAATCAAGGCCTGACCTTTCACAAAACAGGAACTGGGACTTCATGTCTGGAGGCAAAAGCTTATAGCACAGAGCCTTTAGGAGTTCATGATTACTACGTTATAGCAGCAACTGGAAAACAGGCTAGTGACCTTACTGAAAAATGTTTAGTAAATATTCTGTAAAACTAGCACTTGTAAGCCTCTACTGCAGGGAAAGAAGTGAGAACCTGGAGTTTCTTTCAAGAACATGTGGAAACCACTGTACTTTGAAAAAGCTGCCCATTATCTAGTGCCAGGATGCTGGACAGTTGGGCACAGAAACAGCACAGAGGGGCCAGCTGTTTCTATGGCTTCACTCACACATTCATACATGGGACAGGGCAAATTCTGCCCTCTGAGAACAGCATCAGACGTTCACATCTTCTTTGAGAAGCTGTTTTGGTACAAATGCAGAAAATAAGCACTATTACCCACACCAGAAGCTGTTTCCACAGTGCCTCTGATGAAAGCTAGCCCAGTACTTGTGAATTAACCACAAGTTTCAGCTCTTTGCAACAGGCCTTTGGTCACTGTACAAAGACAACTATAAACTATACTGGTCAGTGTAAGCACGCACTAAAAACAAAACCAGGACTTGGGTACAACAGAAGCCTTGAAGAAAATCTTTTTTTTCCACATCAGCCCTTTTCATATCCATATGTTTTAAAAGGCAGAAGCATGGCTGTACAGTACAACATGCCTTTGAAACACTCACTAAAAGCACTTAGTGACCACTTCAAAGACTCGCTTGAAGTTTAACTCATGTTAATTTTAACACAACGGTCATGTAGGGCCACTGTTCAGCCTAAGGGACTTTAAACACACCGTCAACAGATGTACAAATGAAACTTAAGAAAGATTCTTCTGGGTGCATGAATAGCTGGAGCTTTGCTTTGATGATGGCTGGCTGGCCTCCTACACAGCAGGGCTGGGACTTCTCCATTTTTCAAGTTAAGGGCAACAATAACAACCCACCACCCCGCAGGGTAAGGAAATTAGTGCCAGATGATTCAGTGTGATCGCTCTGGTTTTGGATTCGATTCCATTATCGACAAAACTTAACGGCAAGACATCAAAGGTAGTCCTGCATGACCGTGAAACTACCTGAGGTTTTCCTATAAAAGCTGCCTGAGAAGCTTATAACTGATGCTAGGAGACTTCCCAACATAAAACTAACAGACCTCTAATTTCCCGTATGAGAAATCCTCTTAGTGCTGGAATCAAGTGCCTTGCCCTTGGAGCACCACATAAGGGAAGATCACACTTTCTGGGAAAAAGATTAGTAGTTTTACCTGCAGTAAACTAAGATTACAGAGCCCAGCAGCAGCAAACCCACAACTAGAATGGCTCACTTCTGCCTTTTTCTGATTTGCACAGGTGAAAACACTGCACTATATACAGCTAACACAATGGCACTACTGCGACTGATGCAATACATCCATCACTACACTTCCGATGACCTGCACTTTGCTGATGCCTGAAACCAGCTCTGAATTACAGCCTCCTCCATCCATGGGCTGTGCATGCTAGCTACACACCAGCGTCAGCCTGCCATTGCTGGAGCAACAGCCAGTTCTCATTCCAGACAATATCCTCAAGTCTTCAGTTTGTTGGTTACCAGCTTCACCAGGAGATTTGGGGAGAAAAAAAGAAACTACCTTAAGCCTTGTTAAAAGGATTCAAAAGGATTCAACATCCCCACCCTATTAGCCAAGGCACTGAAAACAGGTACCAGAGTTCACTTTAGCATACAAAGCAGGTACTTCTGAGTAATAAAATATGAGAACAAACTTGTACTTAAGACTACATTTAAACTATGCTATCTAAAATTTTGTCTGCATCTAACTTTTCAGGATCAAGAAAACCAAAAGGGGTTAAAGCAATGTGTATCTATGATGTTTGTTAAAGCAATGATCATCTGTACACATAAACAGACTACCACCAAGTCTTCCATCAGAATCAGAATTGGCACCCGGCTTTGCTAAATCATAATTTTGTTCAGGAGAGCTTTCTGTAAACTAAACTGACTTCAAGTTGTTGACATTATACCAAAGAGCATGGAAAACTGTTCAGGTTTGAAGGAAGGGTGCCACCTGCCTTACACTGTTTGGGTTTGTTTTTTGAGGCAGGGTGGAAGACTTGGATTTACTTTAAGAAACATTAAAAGCTGAACCAAAAAGATACTATACTGAAGCAACCACCACCAGCAAGGACAACAAGTAAATATGCCAACAGTTCTGTCAGCATAACCTATGAATCCTTACTTTTTGCCTGTAAGGGTTAGAAAGGAAAACTCCAGAAAGCCTCACTGTACTCATTAAAAACAGTGGACCCTTCTGCAATTTCCCAGTTTTTCTTACGTTTTCTAGGTACAGAATAACTTTGTCCCTCTAAAACAAATTAAAATGGAAAGAGCACACCAGCCGTTGTCACCTGAAGATCATGGCTACTGAGCTTCACCTTATGCTACCTGAACAATTTCCGCACAACAGAAAGACTGAACTACAGCCAGCTGTTCACAGAATTTATGTTTGTACCAGCCATTAACTTCAGGTTTTTTTTGCATTACAGGAAGATTTGACAGCACCTCAAATCTTGGGAAATTGTGTTTTCAAGGAATTAACGGGGAAATATCTCTCCCATGGCAAACTGTCTAAGCAGACTGATTCAGTAAGAGTGATTTCTACTCCCAAATTCGGGTACTTGATTGCTAAGCGACCACTAACTACCCACTTAACCTCTCAAAAGATCTGTGCAAGGCTATTTCTGAAACACTGAGACCTACGGTTTGGAAAAATCTGACTTTGAGGAAACTTACACCAGGCTTCAGAGTGACAGATGGGAATGTTGGCTAAAGTGCTCTCCGAGTATCTCACTTCTACTTGGACTATGCCACCTAGTACCTTGTATTGGCATCATCAGCACAAACTATCAGCCGCTCTGAAAGATAGACACCTTAAATCACTTTCATTTTCTCCTTAAGTTAAAACAAGCCACCACACCAAAAATACAAAGCAGTGTTTTTCATTGTTTCTTCTGACAAACGAGTGGTGAGAGCACAAAACCAGAGAACAGTGGAAGCCAATCTGGTTTCACATTTAGAACACCCTGTCCATGGAAAACTTGCTTCCAGAAGTATGGTTCTGTTTTTCACTTGAGCCTGTACATTACTTGCCTCCTTTTCGCTGGCAAAGGAAAAAAACCTACCTAAGTTCAAGTTTATGGTATCATACCATACCAAAATTTCACAACATCTTTCTATATCTATTAGCTTTAGCTAGTTTAGCCTAGGGATATCATCATCTCACCTTATCAGTGCAATTTTGTTTCTTAAGACAAATGCCAAATACTGTTAACAACCATTTTCTATGGTCTTGAAGACTAGAGACTGAAATGTTAACTGCCTATCTTGCAAAAAGGTTTCAAGCTTTCAAAAAAGCCCAGCTTTTGTGCTCTTACAATCTGCCCCAGATTCTATTCCAAATAGCTTTGTTTCAGACACCCGCATTAACAAAGCTTTCATGTTTGCCAAATACAGTTTTGACTTGCATCACTTTAGATGTTATTGTTACTGACAAACGGATTTGTCATTCCTTCTGCAGCCAGCCAGCTATTCTCATTCTGATTTGCGTTTCTTTCTAAGGTGATCGGTTACTGTTTAAATGATCACACATCTATTTCCTCACAAAATGACACAAGGTTTTAAACTTGCTTAAAAGCATTGGAAGACCAGCCGTAACATTAAAAATAAATTTTAATGTTAAGTCATTTTTAGATCACTTGCTCTGACACCCAGATGTTCTGAAATTAAAAGTAGTACCATAGGGACACACAAATGCAGATAAATCTTTATTGCCATAACCTTGTTTTTTCAAAAATGAGCATTGGGTTTTTAATAGGTCGTAGGTTTATGTCTTTATATGTACAACATTACAACTGCATATTTTAATAATAATGAAGTCAGTGATACTTTTGATAACTCAACACAGTGTATTTATAAAATGAATTCTTATCAAAATACACTTTTCACTGGGATAATAAATAAAATCCTGCGAAACCCACCTACACAAAGTTAATTTTAACTCTGGTAGAACCCGATGTGGTACACAGTCCATTAACTACTATGTTTGCCCCTTTATGCCCCTAGTGATGCTCATCTTCTGGGGTAAGAAAACATTTTTTCCCCTGGTGTGGTGTGACCTCATTCAACATCATCTTCAGCCAAGCACTGTGCATTTACAATTCTCTGTAAGAAGGAGAAAAACTCATTCACAATTACATAAAATTGACAGTAGGCAACTGATTATCAAGCAATGTAATTTTACACTGAACTTTAAGCAGTGTAATTACTGAGCAAACCAATTAATGTTAAAAATGGTAACCTACTTGACGTAAGTGTTTAAAGTCAGTTCTGCAGAAATTACGTACTGTGCAATGCCTACCAAAGTTGAAGTCAAATAATATCCTATCAGCCTCCAGTGATGACCTCTGTGTGGTTTTTGTCACTGTCCTCTAAGGAAATATTTTTCATCACTGTTTCCCTGGACCTTTACATCTCATGTACCTGACACTTTTCAGTGTTTTTACTAACTATATGAACCTTGAACCAAAATGTAACCAGCCCTGGGCTGTAAAGAGAGCTGACTGATGCACAGCACTGAGTTTCTGCTTTATGTGAGGTAACAGCATTAGGCAGTACCCTTGTGTTTCCAGGAACATAAAACAAATTTTTATTTTATAACAGACTCGCCTGCTGGCGTATCACCAACATTAACATTTCCTGCACAGTACTCAAGCTAAAAAGGGAGGGAATTTCATAACAGGGAAACCCGCAAGCTTCCAAACCTGTCATGCTCTGGTGCTAGCTAACATTTTGTGTTTACAGCTGGCCCAGAAGCAACATGCTACCAAAAGCTACAGACTAATTCTAATGGATTTTTATAGCACTACAGGCACTCGTAGGTATATAATTTTTAAAAATAAAGCTCAAGACCCAGTGCAAGAAAGTTACTGCTTTTCTGAGCCCCCGACCTGTATGTGAGAAACAGTGGATCCACTTACAGTACCACAGCTGCAGACAGGTGTCTGTCTCTATTAAAAAAGAGCTTAGCATAGCTACGCATGAGAGGAGCTTTGTATTTCTGTTTTACCTTGTTTGCTACTAATGCTACATGGTGTTTTTCATGTACACTTTTTAATATTTCAGGTGAAAAAAAGCTTCTTTTAATCTAACTGAACATATGCAAAAAACAATACTCAACACTGACGTAGTGTATGAGAGAAGTAGGTCAATTCTTTTCAAACCAAGCCAACAGGGAACACTTCACATACCTGGCTTATTGTAGGGAGCTTAGTTAGAAGCATTTGAAACACTGGAGGTGGTAGAGTCTGCTGTAGAACTTGTAGTAGCTGCTGCGGCTGTCCACACACAGCAATGGCATTGGTCAAGTGATCAACACCTTTCTCATATTCACCTGTAGAACAAATCATGTTTTGAAATAAACCTTCTTCCACCCTGTATTTACGTAAAACATCCATCAACAGTAGGTTAAACTACTGAGACTCAATCTACACTTTTCTTTCCTCCACCCTTGCTGGATCTTCTGAATGCAGAAGGTTAGAAAAAAGTGAACATTTTCCCAGGTGAATTTGACTTCCCAGAAGATCTTAGTATATAAAAATCATCTTCTAGATAAGGTAAAGAAAAATTACTTTACAACTTACCCTTCAAAAAAAGATATGCTATTACCTTGCGCTAGTAGTTCCTCCCCAAGCTGAATCTCCTCAAGGAAAAACTTCTGAACTGCTTCAGCATCTTTCAAATCAGGCAGCTGTAACACACAGAGTAAAGCTGAAGTCGTTTTTTAACTGCTGTTTAAGGGACAAACTAACAAACTTTCATTCTCAACTGAAATCAAACACACAACCATATTGTACACTGAAACTAGGAAAAACCTCATAAATTAGAAGTGTCACCACAAACTTAAATGTACAGAGAATGTCTCTGAAAATCAGACTTGGATCTCATGTCATCGCATCACAAATATGTAAAGAAACAGCGCCTGAAATACTCCTACTCAGTTTATTAAGTTCACAATTTTGTAGCAAATATAAACTCTAAGATGTGTTATGTCTATCACAACTATATTTCTTACAACTGGTTAAGACAAGTCTATCTTTTATTCCAGGATCCATCAGCAACAAGGAAAGAGAAATCAATTATAGGAAAAAGCTATCAAGTTCAGTAATAGGTATACGACATCATGATCTTTAAGTTTGCAAAGTCCTTGTAAATACTAAAGAGGAAAACACCATTAAATCACACAGGAAATGTTGCACTGTCTGGCCTCTATCTAATACAAAAAAGGAACAACCATTTATGAGCATTAAGGAAACCAAAGACCGGGCACTTGCAGAAGTGTTTCTAATGCTGGAATCGAAATAGACCTTTAAACAATTCTTACAAATACTACAAATTAAAGATGTTTCAAAATAGCACTGCATTATTGAACACAGTATTACCTTGGAAAGCCCTGCTTTCTCTTTGGCAAGCTTCTGCTTCTTCCTTCCTGTAAGAAGGAAAACATCTTACATTTTTAATTTGCAATTAAAAAAAGCCTTCAGGTTACAGCTTGAAACTGTGAACAAATCAAAGTTATTTTCAGAATAAGAAACTGATAATACATTCCAAATATTGAAGATTGAACACAAGACTGCAACCCACTCTCTGCAACAGAATATCATTTAGAGGTCTAATGAGGGCTGACAGTAGAAAAACAACTCAAAATGGCAATTTTCCTGCTGCTGGCTATGGTAAACACCAACCGTGCAGGGCCTCATGCACTAGAGGCATGAAGACGGGAAGAGAATTTGAGGAACACAAGACTTCTCCACATGGTTTCTAACAATGATAAAACACAGAAACACTGCCTACAAGGTAAGGCTACCTAATTTTCATAGCAGGTCACAGTACGTAAACGTACCTTCCCAGCTGCTTTACAGCAAAGCCTTGGGAACTAAACAAGTGGCAGTATGTCATCATCCCACAGCAAGAGCAATACTAAAGTCTACATTTCTGAGCTCTGAGGAAAGCAAACATTTACAGATTTAACTGCTCAACCTGAAGGCATAACATTGGTCTGCAACACAAAACTGTACCACTCCAGCAAAACTAGTGTAATTAAAATTACATATAGCTTGCTTTTAATGAACTTGGGTAGGTAGAAAGATATTTTATAGTAGCAACTATTCTTACAAGAAAGAATAATTACAGTCATACTGATTTACTGAGAATAATGATTTTTGTAACTCATCAGTTCATCATCTGAAAGTTATACCAATATTACTTTTAAAATACAACCTATGGTTAAACAACAATTTTACAAGCTAGAAATAGTTCAAAATATGATTTAGCATAATTTGAACTATTTGACTATAATTGAACTATTTAACTAATTGAACCATTTAATCATTAAGTATCTGCTATTGTCCACATGATGCAGACATTCAAGAATACCATTTCCCAGTAGTGATAATGTAACATGAGAAATATATGGACAAGATCAAGTGTTCTTCATATACAGGGATTTCACATTCTAACTACATGGATCACCCTTTTACCTTCTACAATACCTTAGTAACTCTTCACACCTGAATTTCTACAACTTACTGACCTGTGTATATAATTTTATAATTGTCATACAGAACTGTAGTGTTCTGTAATTTTACCATTATGGTTGGTTTCAATATTAAAGAATATATATTTCTTGAAAGTTCATGCCTTCAATTAGCTCACTCCGAGTTTTCTGAAGCATTAATTTGCCCAAAACTTTAAACTGTGCTACCAGGCAAACCACCTTTGCTCATACATAAAATCTTAAAGAAAAAAAAAAGTAGCATGTGAAATGTTTCACAATCAAAACAAGCCACACCGCAACTGTAGCACATACAGTGAAAACATCAATGAAAAGTAAAAAGAGCAACATAATGTTTGTACATCCTCTTCAGGAGGAAACTGTTTTCTTGGTGAGACTATGACATCTTCTAAAATATCACAAGAGATATCACTCACCAGGTTAAGTAATCAGAGATATAAAGTAACTGTAACTAGCTGTAAGTACCGAAAACTACTTTAGTTAGTAAGTTACTAACTGCAAGCATAGTAACCAGCAGAGATATGCTGGTAACTGTAATTATTTAATAAAAGCTTTTAACCACTGATCTCATATGACATCATATACTTTAACCTGAAAATAGTAATGTGAAGAATTGCCAAGATTTTAAAACTGAACACTGACCTACAGACTTCCAAGTCTGATTACTACGCAATTTGACTTCCTTTTCTTAATATGTTTTCACAGGTATCTCTAAAAGTCCACTAGTTAATACAATCACAAAAAAAAACCTAACCAACCAACCAAAAAAAAACACCACCACCCCAAAAAATCCCAAACAGCTCTAAAAGCTATTTAGGAATTCTTCCCCTATGAGTGGGTAGCACTGCTAATGTAACTTGTGTAAGCAAGAAGCAATAGCTTCAGGGATAAAACTAAATCCACCAGAAAAAACCCAACCTCAAACGCCATATATTTTTGGTTTTTGCTTTCCCTCAAGGACCTCCAAGAAAAACTTCCCTCTTTTCTAAAGACATTACCACATTTAGGAAAGGGGAAGAGCAATCCTTCATAGAAGAAATCCTAGTTAACGTCAAAAAGCATGTGCATCCATCCAAACCAGAAAGCTAAACTTCAGCTCTCAAACTGCACAACATGCAGGTCCTTCAGGCACAGCTCTTGTTGATGCAGAGTGAGTTTCCAAACATTATAACCTGTCATGCTGGCACAGGTTGTGAAAATCCCCGAGTTGCCCCAGCAGCTTCACAGCCAGTTCCGCAAAGGAGAGAAATGACCAGAAAGCCATTTGCATCTTCTGCTCCCATCTGTAAAGTCTGCCCACAGCTCTCCCTGCACTCACCTGTCCAGGTGGAAGGTGCTCTGAAGCAAAGTTCTGCATGGTAAGAAGTTGTGGCTGTCTTTATACAGCTGTTTTTTGTCCCTGCCCATGGCAGGGGGGTTGCAGCTAGATGATCTTAAGGTCCTTTCCAACCCTAACTATTCTATGATTCTATTCTATGATTCTATAACAGTTCTGGTTCATAAATTCCAGAACACGACTAGGAAACACAACTAAAAGCTTATCATTGTAAAATACAGCTGTGGAAGCAGCTCCAGATGTTTATAGCTTTGCTATTTTTTTGGTCCTAAGATTAAATATGGACATGCTCCCCAAACTGGCAACACCAAACCCTAAGAAAAGCAAAAAAGGGTTAATGAGATTAAGACATCTGGAAAACTGGAGTCCAGATCTTTCAGTCTCCCAGGATTTTTTTTTTATTATTATTTTTTTTTAATCCTGAAACCTTAACACTTCACTTTTATGATGAGCCTTTGCAACATGAACTTTGATCCTAACACAACCCTAACAGAGGCACAATGTAACTGGGATGGCAAAAAAAAAATCCTGGTTCTTCGTTTGTCAGCAGGCACTTGACCAAATACACCAGGCAATACACTGACATGTTGGCTCATGTCCTCCCCAAATTTTGGTGACACTGCACCACAGAGACTGAAAAATAATCTTATCCTAAGAAGATTAGTGGAACAGATCTGCTATAAAGGTGGTTTCTGTATGTTTTTAGTCAAACACCCCTTACTATTGCCCAAGAAATGGTGTATCTTCATCTAAAGAACTGCAACTGGCTGCTGCTCTGGACCTTTTTTTGTCAAATACTTTGCAGCCCCAGCCTTGCTATCCAACAATAAAAGCACTGTAATGATCAGGTAGCTGGCATCACCACAGAAGCATCCACACTAAAGAATCAGCTACAGTACCAAAAATAAACCCAAATTCCTTGATATTATCTAAAGCTTGAAAACTAAAAGCAGCCCAGTGAATCACGTCCAAGGATCACAAGTCATACAGTGATGTCCTCCTAATAGCAACAGCCTTTACCTATCAAACCACAATGGATATTTTCCACTTTAAAGAAAATGTTAGTTCATAATCAGAGCAAGTCTTAAGGTTTATTCAGAACATTACTGGATAGAGCTCAGGTAATGAAAACCATGGGATGCAAAAATAACTTTCAGTGCTTCTGCAAAAATCTTACATCATCCAGTATTTCCTCTACTTTGTATTTAACATCGTATAAAGAAGATTATACTACAAAAATTGTGTTTGCTTCTGCAAGACAAGCATGTACCAGTTTATACCTAAAACTTCACAATGAGTTGTGTGAAGGCACACAAGTATATGTCTAACATTCTACGTAAATGAGCAAGGGCCTTCAGCTGAAGTATTTGAAAGACATAATTTGCTGTGGAAGAGCTGACAGAAAGCCAAATTAATACTCTGTGAAGCATCAGTGCTGGTCACGCAACAAATTAAAGCCGTTAAGTTATGTTCAAGCATCATGAGGCAAATAGCAATTTTTAACCCATCTAGTTACTGACTCTTCCATTCACAAAACTACTGATCACGTTGTGTTTACTTGATGGGAAAGTTTACTTTAATGGTAACTTCTTATCTTTAGATTAGTTATCAAAAGGAATACTATACATATTCCCATGACAGAAACAACCCAGCACATAAATCACAGAATATTCTGGGTTGGAAGGGACCTTGAAAAGTCATGTAATCCAACAATATTTTTCATGATTCATTCAAGCACCTTAGATGAATTAGAGCACCTTGAGTACTCAGGCTTACTCTTGCACTTAATACCTTCACTATTTATTAAAAGAGCTAGATAAATGTTGAAGATGTGAAATAATGAAGAGCCACGGGAAAAGCGCTCTACATTTTGGATTAATCAACAGTTTTCTCTGGCATTCATTCTTACCCTGGAAGCTAATAACAGAGCTGCCAGGAGGGTTAAGAATGCAACAGATAAAATACCTGTGGGCAGCTCCTGGCTCCTGCCTTACCGCAGCACAACTCCACTGTAAGAGATCACATCCTTTCATAAACATCACCATATAAATGCAGTGGCCATAATGGTATGGCTGAGAGCGTGGGATGGCAATAATTAAAAAGAAAATAAGGGGGATAGGAACTATTTCCAAGCCAAGGCTGTGATGCAGAAACCCCGATTACCCAATAACTACACAAAGTGCAATAAAAACCGCCCCAGCAAGGAGGCCCCGTCCCCTGGCTCAGTCAAAGGGATGTCGAGAGGCACCAGCTCAGCCCCGCCGGGGCTCGGGGCCTACCTGGGCACAGGCCGCCCGCCAGCCCCCCGCCCGCGGCCGGCCCTGCCGCAGCCTCCCGACCCGCTCCGGCGGTGGGGGCTGAAGGGCCGCTCCCCCGCATGGCGGGGCTGGGCCGCGGTGGGTCCCGGCAGCCGGGGGGGCGCTACCGAGGCGTCACGTGCTGCACACCCGAGCCCCGCGCGCGGGCCAGAGGCGGCGGCTGTCGAAGGCAGGGCGCGCGGGAAGCCGCGGGAGACCGCCATGAGGCGCGGGGAGGGGAGGGGCAGGCCCGGACACTCACGCTCCCGCAGCCGGTTCTTGAAATTCGGGTCGCTCCGTCTCTTGCGGTCGAAGTAGATGCAGTAACCGATGAAAAGGGCCCCGCAAAGACCCGCGGCGATGGCGCTGGTCCTGCCCACCATCATGGTGCCCGGCGCAGAGGGGAAGGTCCCGCCGCACCGCCCCCACCCTCCCGCCGAGCGGCCGGCGCCGAGCTCCGCAGGCACCTTGGGGAGAGCGGGCAGCCAGAAAGGACCCTTCCGCGCTTCCGCTGACGTCATCAAGCCGCGGCGCAGAGGGCGCCTGTTCCAGTGCCTGCGGGGAAGCCGCCCGTCGCCACGGAGCGCATGCGCTGGCTGCCCGGTGCGGCCCCTCCCGCAGCCGTACCGGGAGAACCCGACAACCACTCCAGCCGAATTCACCAACAGCGTTTATAGCAGCTCGCGTATACATCACTCTTTGTAACGGTGCCGCACGTCAGTATACGTCTGACTTTTATCAAAAGCGCGTTTGTTCTTCTTCCCCGTTTTACTTCCCGGGGCAGTCCTCAGTCTCTTTGGCTTGGCGCTCTTCCTAAGCGGCGTGGCCGTCTCCCCGACAAACGAATCGTCAGGGCTCTGCTTGGTCCCTGCGGCGGTGCCAGCGCCGCCCTTCGGAGCACGAGGCTGGCCACGAGTTTTCCGTGGCACTTTCCCTTTGTTTCCGCAGCGCTGCACCCGGACCTTTCTTCCCATCAGATCCGTCCCGTTGAGCCTCAGAGCCAGATGCACAGCATCCGTATCCTACAGGGACAGACGTTCGGTTTGAAAGCTCCTTCCACATGAACAGCTGCCTGCCTCTAATTTTCAGAAGCAGGTTTTCTACAATAAGGAGCGCCCAAGCTGCTCTGTTTACTGAATGACACAGCAGCTCTGCTTAGAAACACCAGCTTCCCCAGGTAGCCCACACACTGAGGCATAGATACTTGAAAGTGGGCTGTGGAATAGCTTATGCGAGGTTGTAAAGGAAGAGAAATTAAGGAGAAACTGCAGAAAAAATGTATCAGGCTGAAGGTGAAGAATGGGATTGATTGAAAAATGGGATTGTAAATAAGTAACTTCAAGGACGTTAGGCTTTGTTAGCAACTATAGAGATAAGGAAATGGCTAAGATAAGCACTGCACAAGAACTGGCCAGAACCAGCCTGGTGGTTATTGACATGACAACGATCCTAAAACGAAGTGATGTAGAGGAAGATGATGAAGAAATAACCACCAGGGGTCCCAAAGCCCACTACCACATTTTAGTGCACATGCGGGAGGAATTCTAGAAGCATGACGTAATATATAAGTAACTCAATGAATATGTATGTAATCTAATGAATATGTATGTTTAAGGAAATATAATCACAGCCTGGTTGATGCTTGGAAGAGACACGCTAGGAGGAGCTATCCCCCGTGCCTGCAATAAAGAATACCTTCTTGTCAACTTAAACTTTGTTGGCTAGTTCCTGGACATTTCTCCGAATCAAAGGAAATAAACTAAGGAAGGCGAGGCTGGGAGACTGACATGAGAAAGAAAGCTGTACTGGACCCAAAATAGAGAGCCATGGAGCAAAAAGGCTTCAGGAAAGAATTGCACTCATACTCGCACACATAAGAAATGGGAGAACACTGCAGTTATAACAAGAGAACTTATTTGTCCCTCCTTTAAGTCCTTCCCTTAAAGTTCATTTCCTTCACCCCAAAGTTTTACAACTTTTCTTTGTACACAACCTAAACCAGTTTGTTTTGTCTCTGCTTCCACAGAACCGGTCTTCCAAGCTGCTTTTAACAACCATACTACCACCACCACCATTTAATGTCACATACAAATAAAAAGTAAATGCCATAAAGGCAACCCCTGAATTCAGATGGTGAAGAACACCCAGTTCACACGTACCTCGAAGAGGACGTAGCCAAAGCCCTTCCCCAGGCCGGTGCTTCTGTCCCTCACGATCCGCACTGCCACGACACCTCCACACACAGAGAAGTGCTCTCGCACAGCATCGTCACTGATGTCTGCAGGCAAGCACAACAAAACAGATGCCTCTTCCATCAGGCACGCAGCCTTAGGAGCCTGGGCCAAACCCAAGTGTTTCGTGTTTACCAGTTTAGGTACACAAGCATTATATATTTATATGTATAGGTACACAAACATCAGTGGCTCAGAAACATTCCAGCAAGTTAAGAGGGCAGACTTTACAAAGTGCTATTTACTTCGAAAGTTAAAGATTTTCTAGCTTTGAAGAGTAGAACATAAACCACAAAGAAGAACAAAGGCAAAGACCAACATAGTATTTTCAAATAATTTCATTTATGGTTTGACTATACTGGACATTTAGACTGGTGCAGCTCTTTCTGATGCCAGAAATCTCTTTCTAGCAGATAATGAGCTTGCGCCAGCAGTTCCTGAAGTCTAATGCTCACTGACAGAGCTGTGAATTTTATCTGAATGGGGGAGAAGGAAGAACATCTACAGTTTCCAACCACAGTTGCTGTATGATTATTCTGATAAGGGCCAGATGCATGAGGCTTTCTCAGTCTTGTGCCTACATGAACAGACAAGCATGACATACCAATACAAAACCACAGGTTGTTCTCTTTTCTGTGTAGGTATGCTTCATACTGTGGTAGATCCCTTTACATAAATGTAACCTTGTCTCTGCTACAGGGAGGGGCTGAATTTAGGAGTACAAGTTTAATGACAGCCATGGGAGGGCTGAGAAAGGTTCAAGCTGCTGACTTCCCTACCACTGCAAATGTCCTGTTTTCTGTGCAGGATGTCCAGAGGAATATGCAGACCTGACGCAAACTCTACACATCAGGCATTAGTAACATCACCGCAGATTTTTTACCTATCTCATTTTCAGACAGGTCCAGTTTAAGGCTGAAGTCTAAAGCCTATTTGTTTTAGCATTACTGTCAGCAGTACATGACTGGCTCTGAAACAGGCCATGGGCATGGGGCATGCCTTCACACCTTCAGCCTTCACACATCCACACCACCCCCAAGTAAGATGCTCATTCCAAGCACCCTGACTCCATGAATACACTCCTGTGGATCATACCCGATGGCAATACCGTATACTCTCCAGTCTGCTCAGCAGCAGCTGAACATTGGTCAAGCACGGACCTCAACTATACAGTAAGCCCCTTCACACAGCTAACAACCGATTGCCTATAGCTGCCTGGACAGAGGCATTCAGCCTGTGGCTCACAGACAGCATCAGAACAAGAAGCCACCTCTGTGTATCACTTGGAAGTAGTCCACAAACAGGTACCAGTACACATTTAACAGTTAGGAAGCTATGGCCTATGCAGTTTAGTCATACTTATCTTAAAAACATCCAGCACCAACAAGAACTAAAGGTACCTGCAGTTCTAGCTACAATCAAGAAAACAATTAATGTGCAGAACTTGCCAGTAACTTATGGACCCTTTAGGTATTTCAGTTAAAAAATAAAACTGCTATTTAAAAAATTAATTCCAGCAAAAGGTATTTAGCTACCTAAACATGCTACCCAAAATATCAACAAATAACCCCCCACAATGTCAACATATTCTATGCATGTTAAGTAACGATGCATAACAATCCATTTCAGACTTACCATATGAGAGATTTCCCACAAATACAGATCGCTTATTGTCATGCTAAAAAAAAAATCCAAGATACAAGACAGTGAGCTATTTGTTACAGCAACAAAAACAACCAGAAAAGGGGTTTCTAGTCATACATCTTCCTTACCGAACTGCTTTTTGATGCAATGTCAACTCTGATGTGAAATCCACTAGCAATTTCTGTTCCATTTCTGTTGCAGCCAAAAGCAAAAGGTTTTTTAAATTAATTGTCACTTCATTTGCAGTATCATTGTACAGCATTATTCTAAAAGCAAATTTACATTTAAGCTTGAAAAAACATTGTATTCTGATTCAAGCAGAACCTCGTCAACAGGGAATGAGGAACAAAACTGAGACTTACTCCTTCAGAGCCTTAATGGCATCGCATTCTTCTTTAAATACAATGTAAGCATTAACAAACTTCGCATTAGGGTGCACCTTACGCCTGGAACATGAAAAAGACGTGCATAAGCACTTCTTGTTAAACATATTTATGCCACCTCTTGTGTGCACAGAAACAACTCTCTTTCTCTTAAATGTATGATGGAGTCCCACTGTGCATGACATACAGCCTGCACGAGCATCCTGTCCAAGCTTCCTCAGTTCATAACTATATCCAAAGGAATTAAGGATTTTGCATCTTCCTCCTTCCTAAAATATAAGGAATGCAGCCTAAGATAATGAATTACTGGTGCACCAGGCACATAATTCTTTTTCACTTGTGAAGAAAACTTACATACACACAAAGATAATTATAAAAGTCAAAGAAACACAAAATGAAAAAGTAAGCATAGCTAAACATGTAACAACCAACACTTAAAAATTATTTTTGCCTTGAAAAATAAAGCAGGAAATTCACAAGAGGAACTTACTTTATTGCTGCTAACTTTTTGGATAAAGTATCTTCTGCTGGAACCTTTAAGATAAAAAGAGCTTTAGTTAAGCAGGCCTAGTGTAAATTTATCTCAAATAAGACAAGGAATTCAAACAGGTACCATTCCCCCCCAAGCGATGCAGCCAGTACTGTGAGCAGATGATGGAAGCAGCTCATCCTAGAGATGATCTAGAAACACCTCAGAACTAGACAGCTTGCTTTGACTTCATCAGAGTTCCAAGACTGTTATCTTCAACTGTGTTACAGAATACACTGATTTGCAATCACTGTGTCTCTCCTACTATGGTTTAAAAAACAGGTAAATGAGCAGTAATAAAGACATCCTTCCTCCAGACAGAATACCACTCTGATGCATTTTACCATCAACTGTTAAATGTGAGGAAAGCAAAGATGCATCTGTGGTGCTTTTGTGGTATAATCTCCAAGGATTCTTCTAATGGCAAAAAATACACCTCCAAACCCACTTCTGAACTACTGAAGACACAGCCTTAGGAATATGACCCTTTAATACAAAAAAGTAATTCTTATTATACAATATTCTTATGTTATACAACATAAGTGAAAATAACGTACCAAAGAGCGGAATCGGATGGATTTTATTTGTCCATACTCTTTAAAACGAGATTTCAGAACCTAAACAGAAGATATTACAAATATTCAATACATTTTTGCATCCTAGTCATAAGAATTATTGTTGAATATTTACTACCAAGATTGGTTTTAACATGATATTAATTTTACTTATATAAAGTCCATTAAAGGGCTACTAAAAAAAGACAAGTAATTTCTAACTGTTTCTTGTGGCAGCTTCTTATTTTACAGATTGCCAAAACTGAATTTGTACCCCTTGCTATGGAGGAAAGCATAAAGGCAAACATATTTCATGCAACAATCTGAAGTATTAGTTGCAACCAAAACTAGAATCAGACTTTGTAATTATAGTTCTCATTTATTAAGTAATTTTTTACTGAAAAAGAAACTAAATTCTACTAAAGAGCAACTGCTCTTTCTGCCACTGTAAAAAGCCTAACTACACTAAACAAAAGGGATCACCTCTAATGGTTTTAGATAACAAGCATTATTTCCTGCTTTCCCAAAAAAGAATTTTAGACACAAATACATGTGACCTCTCAGCTGGAAGCCTCCCCTCTAACCAAGGGATGGGGTAATTCTTTTCATCCCTTTAGTCACCAGAAAGCACTCACATACCTGAGTAGTACAGTTGACAGGCAAGTTCCCAACAAAGACGGTTCTTCTGTTTACCAATTCATCAACCACCTTTTTTTCCCTTTGTTGTTTTACAGTAGTGCCTGTATCTGATTTAACAACACTTTTGGTGATGGCAGAAGACGACTTTTTTTTTTGCTTGGTTTTATTTTGTAACAGTTTTTGCTCCTCCTCTTCATCTGCCTGCTCCAAAGCGCTCTCCCTTATCAAAAAAAGACAAGCTAAATAATAAGTGGTAGGAAAAAAACCACAGTTTTTGAGGTCAAAGAATTGAAGCCCCAAAATAAATATTTTAACTTACATTTTAAATTATTATGTTAAACATAAAATATCACCATTGTATTGCTTGTTATGTATTAAACAAACACATCTGACCATCCCATAACATGGAAAACTATTTGCTGTCTCCAGGACATTGTATCTGATATTTAGTAGAGTAACAAAAAAAATTTAATTCATAATTATTTGATAACCTTTAAAATGGAAGGGAAAAAATCTCCAACATCTTTGCACATCAGAACTTGAGAGATTTAATTCTTCCTGGCATCTAGGACACTCAGAGGAATCCATCCTCTGGGATCCATTCATGCACTAACATTATCTCTATCTATCCAAACTTGCCATAACAGCAGGAACAACAAGCAGATCTGAAGAATCCTCTGGAAAGCTACTGACAGCAAAACAGCGAACAAGCTTCATAGGCATGGAAGATGCAACAGCACACAGTGCCAGGGAGAGGACAATGTGTTAGCCTCCAGCTACAGTCACACAAACTTCACTGTCCAGAGACCAGTTTCCTGCTTGCACCAACAGTGTCTTGTTTGAACCCCAGGTATTTAAGAGAACAGATGGTGTTAATACAGTTATTCAGCATCATAGTAGTGGGCAAGGACCATAAGGACAACTAACTGTTTGGTGCTGTGTGTTGCTGTCTGGTACCTTGCTCATGCTGAAACTGCCTCTCCTTCTTTGGCAGCTGGATAAAGTCAGCTACAACTACGAAGTATCACCCTGTGCCAGAGAGACCTGGTCTAAATCTACAACCTCAAGGCCTGTTCTCTCTCTAACAGGGATCTGCATTTCATGGACATAGAACTTCAAGAAGTTGTATTTGCTGCCTCCTGGGGCAAACTGCAGAAAATTTTCACAATCTTCTTAACCACAAGGTTCAAGATAAAGAGTAAAATAGAGCTTTACTGCTTCACTGAATTCATAATCTTATGAATAATCCAGATGCTGGTTTTTTTTTAAATCTTACTATGGGGATATCATCTACTCACCTGTTTGCCGATTTTTTATCTGCTTTTGAAAGTTCCTTTTTTTTGGCTTTCTTTGCTTTTACAGGAGGTTCTTCTATGACAGGTAAGCTCTGGTCTTCTGATGCTTTCTCCACTTCTGCTTTCTCCACTTCCTCTGCATGCTTTCTTTTCTTTTCTTTCTTTAAAAAAACACCCACAAACCAAGTTGAAAAAAGCAATCCCAGAAACACCTACAATTGGTTTATATATTGTAATTTACTTGGAGCACCACTACCCAAAGCCAACAACTGCAAGAAGTGGTGCACCCAACACCCAGACCTGCCTGCTCACTGGGGCGCTCGCCCCACGGCTCTTCCAGGCTGAGAGTGGGTACAGCACATCCCAGTAAGCAACCATCAGCCTTGCACGCTAACCATTTACTTCTCAGTTCCAAAAAGGAAGCACCCTTGGCTGTCCATGCCCCTTGGGCAGCTGCCTGCCTTCCCACCACCATTATTCAGCCCCTCTGGGCACAAGCTATAAGAGAGACATTGAGGCGCTGGAGCGGGTCCAGAGAAGGGCAATTGAGCTGGTGAACGGTCTGGAGCACAAGTCTGAGAAGGAACGGCTGAGAGAACCAGGGGTGTTTAGTCTGCAGAAGAGAAGACTCAGGGAAGACCTTATCACTCTCTACAACTACCTGAAAAGAGGTTGCAGTGAAGAGGGGGTCGGTCTCTTCTACGAAGTAACATGTGACTGGACAAGAGGTAACGGCCTCAAGCTGCACCAGGGGAGGTTTAGCTTATACATGATGAAAACTTTCTTTACCTACAGGGTGACCAGGCATTGGAACAGGCTGCGCAGGGCAGTGGTGGAATCACCGTCCCCGGAAGCGCTCAGAAACCATGTATATGAGACCCTCAGTTTTTAGTGGTGGCCTTGGCAGTGCTGGGGTAATGGTTCGGCTTAGTGATCTTAAAGGTCTTTTCCAACCTAGTTGATTCTGCGATTCCACGAACGCGCAAGCAGGAGGGAACCGCGGGGCAGAGCGGCACTCACCACAGACACCAGCACCGGCGGGGCGCCGGCGGCGCTGAAGAGCCCCGAGAGCGGCGCGGCGGGGGCCGCCGCCGGCCAGAGGCTGTCAGCTACCTGCCCCACTACGTACTGCTGCTGGTACTGCTGCTGCTGCTGCTGCTGCTGCTGCTGCTCCGGGCCGGCCCGCACCGCCACCACCCTCCGCCGGCCCTTCATGGCTTCCCGCGGCGTGAGGGAAGACACGCTAGGGTCGCGTCACTTCCGGCGCGCGTCCAACGCGCGCCTTCGCCCGTGAGGGAAGCGGGATGTCACCGCGGGTACAAGGTAACCTTGCTTTGGCAGTGCCTCGGGCAGCGCCCTTTGTGTGTGAACATACCTTAATGGTGGCCATCTGGCCTCATCCAGGGTAGAGTTTAAAAAACCAAACCAAAACCCAACACAACTAACCACAACCCCCGGACCGGCCCTTAAAGCCTGCGCAAGATGGTCTTGTCCCCGAGAGCAGGTTAAATGGAAAGCAGTGAGAAGTTGCCCTAGCAACGTGGCTCTGCCGAACGGCAGCTGCTGGGTACCTTACAGCAGGTTGGTAAAGCATGTAAGGATCAGTCCTTGAGAGGATTTTCCTTAAAACCCAGCACCTCTTGGGGCCTTCAAAGGCGTGCAGCTTGGGGGACAGCATTACGAGGAACCATTCGTACCTCTTCCCCCCAGCTTTGCTCTGTAGGCATAATCGTGCTGCTGCAGCTGCATGGATAGGAGTGGATTGCTGATCCAACAGGAAAAGACCCACATGTGTTCAGCTGATTTTGCAACTCGGGACAAGGCACAACTGATGCATAAGGAAGTTTTGATCTGTTACTAAATCCCTGAAATTAGGCACCTAACTGGGGTCTCTTTTTAGACTTGCCTGTCCAGAACGTGATTTTAAATGCTGGACAATGTGGTAACTGGAAAGGCACAGAAAGTTGCAAGGCACTCAGAGGCTGAAGCAAATACTTACAGCTCTTCTGGTGTAACATTTTACACACTTTTTGAACGGTCAGCATTAACAGTTTTGTTGGCACTAACACCCAACTGAATGCAGAACAAGCAATCCAGCTCTAGAATACAAGGTAAAAGCACTAGTCTTCACACCCACACCAGGTGTGCTGTGTCTGGCTGCCTGCTGGGGACCCTCACTGATGGGGTCTGCCTAGGAGAATACAAAATAGAGAGTCCCTGCTGACAGACAGGTGGCTGCTGCACCACTGGTATTGTCTTTTCCCACTTACCTTCACAGGACACAGCAATTTTGCAGGTGACACAGCTGGGACAGAACAGGTTGAACAGGACGATCAAAATACATCAATATTGCAAGTGTTCAGCTGGCTGATTTCAGAGAACCCCAAGTGCTGAAGCTCAACAAAAGGCACTATAGCCATCAGGAACTGCCAGAGTCCTGTGGCACAGGAAATTTCACAGCATCATGGAAGCCACACAGTAACAAGCACAAGACAGCCTTCAGGCAAGGTGTGCTCTCTTGGCGGCATATAGAGTCTACACTTAGCCATTCTCAACACAATCAAACATGAGACATGGAAAACCGATCCTGTTGCTCAGCCAAGGTGTAAAGGATGAAGGAGGGGCAGTTTGTCTCACTTTGCCCTTCAGGTCATGGTCAGGCACATGAGAGGAGGGGTACAGGCCATTAGCCACTGATAGTGGGGAAACTTTTTCTGCTGCTAGCACAGTGTGCATGCCCAGAAGGGAGCACACTCATGCTTAAAGCTGCATTACACCTGAAAAGCAGCTTAAAGCTGCATTGCACCTGAAAAGCAGCTCAGATTTACTTTCTGGAACGTGGGCTAAAATGGACGGGCTAACAGTTTGCCAGCAACACCTTACTTTGTAACCACTGGGACACAAGAAACATGAACCTGGGAGTACCATTTACAGACACCCTTCACTGAAGAGGGGCAATGTGAAACATCCAGAACAGATTTTTGACTAGTCATTAAACTGCAGTTTGTAATTATGAGCAGTGCATCAGAAATAAAATAATCTGTTTTAAGAAAAATCCTGTTTATGCAAAAACCCCTCAGTTTGGGAGTAGGGAGGTGACTAATGATCCCTGTTTCAAACAGGTATCCTCTCACAGAGATGAGTCAACAATTGTCACACCAAAGCAAAAGTGCTGTCATTAGAACTGAGAGCTGATCAAGAACTAGTAGCATGTGGAGAGCTGGATTTGCTTGTGCTTGCCCATACACAGTTCCTTGTTAAATCAATACCAGTTATGCCTACTGAGACTGAAAGGCAGAACTGAACTATCACAACTCTGATTCTGCTAAATTTAAACATGTAAATATCCTGAGAAGCCCCACTGAAATTATTAAAATTACTCCTGTCAGTCTCAGATCACTGGTAATTATTAACACAGTCAATGTTCCCAAAACTTATCATTATTTGTTATTTACCAGTCTCATCAGTAATCTATCTTTTTGCAGATGTAACAGCATTTTGGTCAACTCAACTACAGTCACACATGATATAAAATGTAAGTGAATAACACCACAAGTTTTATTCCAGTTTTACTTCCACTGAACCTGAACTCGAGGAAGTCAGTATCAGAAGTCAGCAAGTATCTTCAGGAGCTCGCTTTTACATTTTCAAACTACTTGAATGAACATGAATCAAAACTCATCTTTGTTTTCAACTGGCGCTGCCTTAGTCGTGTCAATGGGCCAGGCTGTCTCTTTCTGCTGGAAAAGATGAATTTGAATTAATTGCTAAGAGGAGAATGAGGCCAATGTACCCGCTCTAACTTACATGCCTATCACACCATACCAAAGATCATTTGCTACACTGATTCTGCAACTTGATGTCACTTCAATGAACACACTACAGTTGCTTAATTAAACTGTTAGAAACAAAATCAGGGATTCACAAACTATGGCATTTTATTTCAGAGGCCTTTGCTTACATTTGTACAATATATTACATAATTCTCCATTTTCTGCAGAACCTAATATATATTTTATAGCTTTTTCTATAAGCTTTTCCTTCAATGTTTGTCAACAAATTTTTACAGTCCTGTACAATTCTGAATACTTTGAAACCATTTTCAATAAAATCAGTTAACCTTAAGCACACACTACGAAGACTGAAAATGCTTTTCTTAGAAAAGTCAAATGTAAAGGATTCTGACACTCTAGCATCTACAAACAAAATGCTTTGAATTCTTACATGTTGTATTGCCAGAAAACAAAGAAAAACATGCCAGCCCCTATTTCCCCAGGCAAAAGAAGTACACAGAACTACAATTAAAACAGTAAAACAATCTGTACAATAAAGTACTGTGTATTAACAGTGCCAGGTATTAAATAGCTTGAATGAACACTTCCGCAATATACAAATGTCTTACAAAGGTATATAATTAACAGGAGAGAGCTTGGGATCCATACAACATAAAATCAATACAAGTGAAAACAGTTTGAAGTTGGTTTTGGAATTTGTACATGGCATTTAGAAAATTAAATGTCTACCACTCAGCTAGCTATTTATTTAAAAAACAACTACCCCTTTGTGGCAGTGTTCATATCAGCAACCACAAATTATAACCTCACACCTTACTCTGTCTTGAGGTCCTCTCCTTGAAGCTCGTAATAAAATAAGCATTACAAATGAAATATCTGTTGCTTTAAGGGAAAAGAAACATTTACAAGAAAACACAAAAATATAACTGTTATAATCCATTATGAATAAATATACACTTTAAACTGGCTAAATACAATCTTTATACATTAAGATTTAATACAGTTTGTTAGCCATTTTCTTTCTTTTTCATAATGTATTTTATCAAAATTAAAAAAAAAATACTGTTTTATAGAAAAATGGCAAAGTACAGTAGTTTCATTCCAATTAGTGGGTTATTAAAACCCAGAGTAACCTATTTAAGCCTAATTCAAACCTGTAGACGTTAGGTTTTTTTGTCTGTTTTTTTAAAGGAATCCTCATATTTGGTTATCAGGACTGATGTCAAACATCCTACTAACTGCAGGTTTTGAATTGAATACATGTGCTTGACGTATACAATTTAAGCCACTGTAAAGTGACTTAGCAGTTAAAAAACAATTAGCTTGTACAAATGAAAATAGGTTCAATATTTGTCATAAATAAATGGAAAAATATCAAATGCTCCAGCTTTAACAAAATACCAGGGAATACAGTAAGCCTACCACATTTATGTAGATCAACCCAACAACTATATGCTTATTGTACTGTCTTTACAGGCAGTGAACAGCCTCCAATTGCCACAGTGGAAGGCCTTCGAGTCACCAGACTTACAATTCCCAGACAAGTTGGAAACAATTATTGCTTGAGGAAAAGCAGTTTGTTGTACTTTTTCTTCATAAAAGTGCACTTAAGTGCAAAGTTAGCTTGTCGAGAAACAACTTTAAATACAAAATAGTGCTTGTCTGAATTTTGTGCCATTGTGCAGTATAAAAAAAAAAAAGAAAAAAAAAGAAAAAAGAAAACAAAGAAAAGAGTGGCCCTCAGCAGCCATTAAGTGCAAAGTGCTTTGGCAAGTCCTGCTGTCACCTGCACTCAACTGACATTCCATTCTGTGATGAACTTGACATAGACGGTTCTGCTAAAGTTAACATAACTGCAGCTGTAATGGAACTAGAGGAAGGTGATGAGGAGGAAGATGATGTAGTAGCAGCACCTGCACAGGAAGAGGAAAACATAAGTTACAAAAATTTACAAATTAAGCAATAAAAGTGTTCTCCCATTCAGCAACTAATGCCTAGTCATTAAACAGAAAAAAAGCCTCTATTCCCTCATTTCTGTGGCAAATACTCCAACACACAGTTTCAGCTGCATGCAGAACAGCATGTTATTGCCCCTTGCAGCCCTGGTTCCCCAGCCACCCAGATCAAGGGCACAGTGGGAGCACACCAGAGCTCATTCCTGACCCAGAAGCATAGTCAACTGTTCCCTTTCTTTCCTGTTGAAACCAGCACAGGTGAAGTCTTGTCCCAGCACGGAATCTGCATAAGCACCCTGCTCCAGCCACTGCAAAAAATGGTTGTAGCCATAAAAAGCTTAATCTTACTACACACGGCATTCCAGTCTTTCTTCTGTACTCAGTGAACTCTTAATTGTGCACATAAATAAGACACGGAGAAAACAATCCTCTTAATGCTGCTTAAAGCAAGCACACTAGAACATTC